GGAAGAGGCTGTGTGTGTGTGTTCGCACTTTTTGTCACCCACTTTCAACTCGAGAACCAGAAAAGCAGGAAGGCTGAAACTTTGAGGATATGTGCCTATACCATGCGCACCCCTCCCATTCTAATTTCATCCTCCGCGGATGCCTGGGTGCCGCGTACGGACGCTTTAAAAAAATATGCAGATTTTTTGGCGGGGAAGCTGTCTCGGGAACCACACGAGCTAAGGGGCTGAAACTCTGTAGGGATATTCCCTATGCAAGTACTAGCTAAAGATTTCAAACTCAGCCCCCAGGTGTGCATGGTGCTCACGCAAGAGCGTGTGAAAGTTTTGGGGGTAAATTGCTAACTCGGGTACCAGGAAAGCTAGGAAGCTGAAATTAGCTAGAAAGCTATCGAAATACACCTCAAATATTTCAAATTCAGCACCAAGCCACGTGCGATACTCACGTCAAGGCGTATGAAATTTTAAGGTGGAAATTGCTAACTCGGGTACCAGGAAAGCTAGAAAGTTGAAATTCTGAAGGGATGTTCCCTATCCAAGTACTACTCAAATATTTCAAAATCAGCCCCAAGCTATGCATGGTACTCACGTATGGGCGTAGGAAAGTTTCTACAGGAAAATTACTAACTCGAAAACCAGAAGAGCTGGGAGGCTGAAATTTGAAGCAGATATCCCCTGTTCACGTACAATTTAAAAATTTCAAATTCAGCTTTCCAGGGACGTGGAATACCCAAGTAGGGCCATGTGAAGGTTTGGCTGGAAATTGCTAACTCGGCAACCAGAAAAGCTAGAAAGCTGAAATTTAGGGGGAATGTTCTCTGTCCAAGTACAACTTAGGTATTTCAGATTCAGCATTGAGGTATGCGTGTTTCTCAAGTGCAGGCACTTAAAATTCTTGGCGAAAAAGATTTCTCACTGATCAACTAAGTTACTTTTAAAGAACGATTGTTAAATGGAAATTGTACACTTACTTTGCAAAATTTATGGTGATTTATGCTAGTGACCGCATAAGGTAGGTGTGAAGCAACAGCCATTCGTACAGTTAATGACCTGAGTGATTCAAGTCCGGTGCAAAAACGCATGACCGCATGAGCCCGCGCGGTGCGTTCCAGCCTGGGTTGCTCACTGTAACAGTGCTACAGCGCTGCACAGCACAAATTGCATAAAAATAAATAGCAACGCGCACCAGACTAACTGGTGCGATCATGCGTTTTGTGCAATTCAGCCCATCGAACGATTACATATTAATGATTTTTACTGCGTTGTACTTTATTCTATGCAAAAATAGTTGAAACACTGAAAAATATTTAGAAATTTCACGTGCATGCGTATGAAAGCTGAATTCTTTCCGTGATTCCTGAGGTGGTAGTTTACCCGCCAAAATTTTCACGAGGACGTGGGTAATAGCCGAGAGCGCGGGAACGCTGAATTTGAGTAGGCAAGGTTGAGCGTGGGCAAGAGGTCAATACCCTAAAATTTTAGCTTCCTAGACTTCGTTTTCCCGAGATAATAATTTACCAGTAAAAATTTTTCACCAGCCTATAGGTGGTACCCGAGAGCGCGGAAACGCTGAATTTGAATGGGCAAGGTTGAGTGTGGGCAGGGAATTATTACCCTAAAATTTGTGCTTCCTAGACCCCGTGGTTTCTGAGACAATTTACCCGTCAAAAATTTTCACGGGACCGTACGTGTTACCTGCGGGTACGGAAAGGCTGGACTTAAAATTGCCGCGTCACCCGGTGGCGAGGAACAGTATACTAAAATTTCAGCTGCCTAGCTTTTGTGGTTCCGAGTTGAAAGTGCGGGATAAAATGTGGAACACAAACACACCCCGTGACAATATGCGTTTTGTGCTGCTATTACACGGCACAAAACGCATAACAAACAACAGCAAGTTAATGTGAGTTCTGGGCTTGAACTTTTGGCACAAAATTGTTTAAATTTGGATTTATATTACTGACACAGAGTATCAAATTATATTCCAGACTGTCGTCTGTTAGCTTCGTGCATATTTCAGTTTTGTTTATTTTCATGAGAGTGCAGAGGAGTGGAGGAGTACAAACCGCGTTCGTTCAGTTAGGAACCACGTTCCGAATCACTTCGCGGGCCACCGGTTGCCTATCCGTGCTTTAAACCATTGCGGTGGACCATGGAATTCAGGTCATTCACCTCACTCACGGGCAACAGTGCACCCCTTTACCGTCTAGGACTTTAAGGGTTTTGGGAGATGATGCTGGATTGGCTCGAATGGACAGCGGGCGTAGTCTTCATCGCGAAGTGCACAGACAGCAGATGAGGCAGTTCTCACCAAGGATTGCAGAGGCTAGCCGTGCTGGGTCAATCCCATCAACTTCGCCAAACAATCAATACTGGCTCAACTCGG